CCCTTCCAACCCCTACCATTCTGTGATTCTGGGATTCTGCGACTTCTGGTCTTCCACTCCCCTGACTTACGTTAACACCACATTCAGCTGTTGTGGCCATTTCCCTGTATGGCCTTACTTTCTTCACAAATATTTCAGCTGCAACCCACAGGCAACAACCCACCCCAGTGCAACAACTGCGAGTCAAAGATTCAGAAAGCCACAGATATTCCTTCTCTGACTACACTGCACAAATTATCCAAAAGGCACGCTTGTTAAGTGGCTGACATTCCAGTTTCATCTCTTCCCACCACAGTCTACAGTGCCAAAAACACAAAACTCGGTTTTCCTCAGAGACTACCTGGTTACATTCACGATGTGAAAAAGAACACTGCAGTTTGGGGCAGGACAGAGGGTGGGAGATGCTGAGAACGTGAAAGTCTTTCCAGTAAAACTAGAAGAAACAAAAAGTCAGCCTTTCGGGCATCATTTGGACGATGACACTCCACGTCCTGGAGCACACATCCGTGACTCTGCCAGTGGATCTGTTAGTTCATAGAACTTCTCCCCTGTACTTGAGGAAAGCACAGATTCAGACTTCTACCACTACCACGCTCACCAAGAAGCCACAAGACTGGTTTGTGGGTGACACAAGCAGTAGCTCGTGGTGAATTCTCCCTAGTTCTTAGGACCTACCATGGTATTCAGAGTATACTTTAACAACAACAACAAAAAAATCATTTTCATCACAATTATTAGATCAAGAAATGGGAAAAGAGTCAACAGCATCACTCCTATTCCATTTTAGGCAGCTATTTATTCAAGCAGCTGTTTCAATGGTCAAGGCAAATTGCCATGATGATGGTGTTGACAGTGTTTGCTGACAGCAGCAGCTCCAGCCTGGTCCAGCCCTGCCCACCCATACAGCCCTCGGCAAGAACATCGTATCACCAGCACTGGAGACAGAGCTTTCCCCCACTTCCCTCCACACCACCAGCTTTCCCCTCATCTGGGATAAACACCAAACTCCACAGCCCGCGTCAGTTGTGGGGGGTACTGAAAGACCCAAACCAGTGTGCCATCCTACGTCACATTATCAGAAAGGCTTGAAGAATTTTGCCAGGAAGAAATGTTATTTCTTCCATTATGCAGATGAGCTTTCTCCTGGGTTCTGGGCACAAAACCAGGCTGTGGTACCCCATACATGTTAAACCCAGGACCCCAAAGTGAACAGCCTCCAACTCTCCATCAACTGAGAAACTGCATGGCATTCCCCCACCATACTTTCCTCTCCAAGAACAACTGTGTATTACTTGATGTGGATTCTTCCAGCAAGTTGAAGATACTATGGTATTTGTCACAGATTACTTTATTTTTCTTCTTTATTTTGCATGGTCTTTGCAGACATAGCACGTTATAAATACAACATTTGTAAAAACTCAACA